AAGGCCAAATTTATAGCACCATATTTTAACCCTGTAGATTATAAATCGGAAGCACGAAACTCGAATTCTGTCAATTACATCACCTTAGAAATTAAGTCCCTATGTGATTACGTAGAGTTGGAGCTAATTACCACTTATACCTCATTTACTTCCACATCTAAATTAATATAAAACTTTGAGTTGGGTGTGGAACATCTTCTTCTTCTTCTTCTTCTTCTTCTTCTTCTTCTTCTTCTTCTTCTTCTTCTTCTTCTTCTTCTTCTTCTTCTTCTTCTTCTTCTTCTTCTTCTTCTTCTTCTTCTTCTTCTTCTTCTTCTTCTTCTTCTTCTTCTTCTTCTTCTTCTTCTTCTTCTTCTTCTTCTTCTTCTTCTTCTTCTTCTTCTTCTTCTTCTTCTTCTTCTAGTTCTTCTTCTTTTTCTTTTTTTTTTCCTTCTGGTTTTTTTTTTTTTTTTTTTTTTTTTTTTTTCAGGCTGTGGTTCCTTGCCTTTCAGCTAAATGCATTCCGACTTGGAAGCTAACTTCTAATTAGGTTGTCTCTTACGACATGCTTGTTGTGGAAGCAGTAAGTCTATTCCACCCAATCTCACCCCCCAATGGGACACAGAACCCTTACGGTGAGTGGGTGCATATAAAATGTTAACGTCATAACAGTTTGAACCTTACCATGCCCTCCTGTATAAACACAAGAGTTCCGTCTTCTGTGAATCTGATATCACTTGGTAATGCAAAGTGTTGCACAAGCAGAGTGTTTCTCAGGAGAGAGATGATAGCCCGCAACATAAACGAAATGAAGAGGTTGATGTGGATAACGTTTCTTTGGCAGTGAAGTTTCCTGTCAGAAATAGTTATATTGTCAAAGATATAGTACGATAAGGAGAACTTATTATCGTCAGTCTACATGTTTTTTATATAACTTTGCCACCTGAAGATGGTATTAGTGAACAGTGCGGAGGCACAAATAGAACTTTACGGTCTGAGGAGAATGGTGCTGCGGGGGGGGTTACTAGGGGATCTGGCTGACGCTCAACATTCAAGGGAAAGTAGAGACAGATATACAGTCAGACAGTTACTTGTACCATCGAAATCGGAACTCCTCACTTGCTGCTGAAGATGGGAATGGAGCGCTTATGGAAGTGTCCCGAGTGCTACGATGTAGATTCTTGATTTAACATTATATAACGTGCCTTTCGTCACCACACGTCTTAGTGTCACTCTTTTTCAGGCCCATTATACAGCCCTTAGTGCTTAAATACCTAATTAACCTTCAATGTCTTGCCTACACTTTCGCGGAGGTTTGACGTGGTATCGTTTTCATGAACTATACCTTCCATCGCCGTTTTCCGCCTGCCGCTATGACGTTTAACATGGGAAAAAATACCTGAGATATCGGGACAGGATGCTGTTTATGAGCCAATTCTCCTCCATGCTCAGATCACGTACGATGTAGTGTACCAGGAATACTTTACATATAGTATCAGTTTTGTCACATATCACTCCTGTCGCGTGCCTAATGTAAGGATTTCTCCTTCAGAACCAGCAGCACTCAGAGATAATTTTGTTGAGTCGTTTGGCTCGTATTGGTCTAAGGGATTCCCCGTGGCCAATATACGATCAACTTATCTCTGGAGTAGGGCAACTCAAGTATTGGCACTACAAAATATATCAGTATATAAATACAATATTTCTAGGCACACTTGGCTGGACACCCCCACTACTTACTAAAGAAAGCCCCCAGGTTATGATAATTCATTATCATAACCATGTTAACACATATAATGAAGATACATACACATACAACTGCTAACCACTTAAGAAGGTGACATAGAGAAACCTAAGTCAGCCATGAAAATGAATGCATGTATTTAGTATAATATCTGTACAAAAACAATTGAAGTGAATTCCAGCTATCAGTGAAAGAATTTCAGCACTAATGTCTAGATCCTAAGGAAACTAGGCAGACAGCCGGTCCTGGAGGTGACATCTTCTCATCATTGGACACAGGGAGCTGTGAGGAACACAACATCATGTGAAGCATTAGACTTATCTTCTCTTTTCTCTGTCTATGATGCCTCCCTCAGCTCCGGATGATTTGACTGTCTTTGACTCTGGGAATTCTGCTCCACTGGATCAAGTAGCAAGAGTACTTCACTATACAGCAACTGTATCGTTATCTAGCAAGTCTCTATTACCAGTAAGGACACACAATGTCTTGGAGCCACATTAAGCTCTGGCACTGGTAGCTGTTTGAGGCACAATCTCCCCCATTTTTGGAGATGTCAGGAACCTTCACAGGTGTTATCTGGTGGGTAACAAGTTGGTTCTGGTGGTTGGATATTTGGTGGATGTTGGTGAGACTGTGAATCTTCTGCCAGCTCTTCAGAAAATATCCATCCTGTCAAGAAAATAACTCAGCATTAGTCATCATCAATAGGGTAACATCTTGACAGGAAAGACAGAGCAAGCACAAGTCATCAACTCCCATCCGCTGTCTCCTCCCTGCTCTCCTGTTTCATTCCTCAGATTGTCTCTCCAGACCAAAAGACATAAGTCTCCTATATTTATCTGTCTGTTTAGTGCAAGAGAAGGCAAGTCAGATATGCAGTGGAGATAGATAAAGTGGTCTAACACATTTATCATCTCCCCCTATCCCCCTCACTCTGCACACAAACACCAATATTTACTGTCAGTACCTGCATTCACTAGTTTTCCCAACCGCCCCAGCACTCATTGATCTGGGTCAAGCACACACATACTTTTATTAACACAGCCCTGACCCAATTCTGTCCCCATCTCGTATGTACAGATTCTGTAAGTAGTTTAAAACGTACACAATAGTAAGGGCATTAAATGTTTATCAGTATGGGTGGTTATTGAGTGCATAAGCTATTTAGTTTGTACAGTGGAAGATCTACGTTCGAATCCGCTACTCTAGCGATCAAGAATGGTAGAGCTAAGTGAGATCACACAGCCGATATGGATTTCTCTACAGCAGTGACTACTTTACAGACAACATTCTAGGTACTCGTAAACTATAATTAACTTACCCAAGCATATGTAAAACTGAGCCCTATCCAGATTGCCTTGAAAATTTAAAGTATACAGGCACAGATTAACACATCTGGAGGCTTGAGAAGCTGGCAAGGAGAATGGCGTCAGTTAGACATTTCAGGCGTTGGTACAAAAGAAGTTCCTTGTATACTGGGGCAAGGAGTAAATCGGTTTCCAAGAAACCTCAATTAACTCCCTAAATATACCCCCAAAAGATATACATTTAAAAGTGGAGTTTAGTTAAAGTAACCAGAAAAGGCAGACATAATAATGTTGTCCAATACAGGCCTATATATATAGATATAAGGGACTATATATTTCTGGGCGAGTCCAATTTTGAATTTTGTGCAGATTACAGGTAAGACAGGTTATCAGCCTTACAAACCGATGTGTAATGACTATCATTTCACGACAAGTTTGTTGCATCTCCTTTACGGCACATCGTAAACCAACCTCAAAATGTGTTGGATGTTGTGGGGTTTTACCAGGTGTTGTTGTGTTCGAGTGGATCAGTCACAGTCACGTTGGTCTGGACTGGTGTGCAAAATGGGAGACAATCAGCCACCATGGCAGGTGTGGGGAGACTAAGAACCAATGAACCAGACCACCAGGGCGACACAGGGTTCCCTGGGAAAACAACATCCGACAATTCCTGACTGACAGAGGATTGGAAAGTAACAAAGCCAAAAAGAATTATGCTGATAGACCAGACTGGCAAACCTATACACCCCAAAATAGAAGATAAGAGACTAAGTAGAGTAGGTAACTAAGATATTTGGTTCAGTAGTTACATTGGCGTTATAAACTGTCGATAACTATAACATTGTCGAAATCGAAGTACAGCGTCTGCTGCCAAATGGTCTGAATTCCAGAGAAATTTGACTAAAAAGCTCAACAAAATGGGAAAGAGGAAAAAGAGATCTACAAACTCTCCATTCCTCGTTTGTGTTTTCTACTTGTGTTTGAAAAAGGCTGCCTGGTCGAAACGTTACGCTGTGTTGTTTTGTGCACGTTTTCCTCTTTCCCATTTTGTTGAGCTTTTTAGTCAAATTTCTCTGGAATTCATTGTATTAGCTTGACTGCAGTCACCCCCATAGTTCTGCAAAATGGTCTGCAGCTAAATTGTACATTGTTTGTCAGAATTGTGAAACTGTGTTTATAATCTGTGAGCTAAAGATGCCGACATATATTATCAAGCGTATCATTAATACGTCTAACAAATTAAATACAGACGGTGCACAAAAAATAAGGAATATGTTAGTTGTGTCCAATTGCCTGTACCATCCATGAAACTATTTCTATCTCATCAACAAGATGATTCACAGAACAAGCAGTGTGATAAATACAGGAAAATATACCATACTGCAACGATATCTTACATAAAACCAAACTGTGCTACAAATATGACATATATATGTATAATATACTACAACGATAACTTACATGAAACCACACTATGCTACAAAGATAAATTACACGAAACTGCACTATTCTACAGCTATAACATAAATTAAACCACACTATGCTACAAAGATAACTTACATGAAACTGCACTATACTACAACATTATCTTACATTTAACCACACTATACTATAAAAATAACTAACATTAAACCCTACTATACTACAACGATAACTTACATGAACCCAAACTATATTAAAACACTAACACGTAAAACCACAATATACTACAACGATAATTTACATGAACCCACACTATACTACAACGATATCTTACATGAAACTATATTATACTACAACGATAACTCGTATGAAACCACACTATAGTACAACGATACTTTACATAAATCCACACTATGCTACAAAGATAACTTACATGAAACCATACTATACTACAACGATAACTACATAAAACCATACTATGCTACAAAGATAACTTACACGAAACCATATTATACTAGGAAGATAACTGACATGTAACAACATTATAATTATAATATAACTTGCCTGAAGAGCACCATGATCGTTGTGGCTACTATAAGCGTCCCTAGTGATAGGGAATATCCGATAGTTGAAATCTGGATCACAATTGGCATGTGCTCCTGTGTGAGTGCAGACAGAAGCAGACGGTTATTTGTGTGTTACAAAATATACGGGATGGTGGGTTGACAGAAAGGGTTTGGAGGTACACGACACACGGCTCCACACATGAAGATTGTTAATGAAACAATAACAACAACAACAATATCAAGTCATATACACAGATGAACAGACGGGGAATCTTTGAGGCGGTAGAAACATTATATTAAACAACCACATATGCAAGGATCGGCACTCACATAAAGAAGTCGAATAATGGAAGAATACATTAGACAACATAAAAATCGAAAGCTATAAATACCATGCCAGGAGTCGAACCTGTCACCTCCAATATGACCACACCGCCTCGCAGCAGAAACAAGTGACCTAAGACGCATGCCTAAAAACCCTCCGTCCCCCACCCCCCACCCACCCACCCCCAACCCCCAAAAGGTGTCTTCATTAGCCATGTTTGTCCTACAGCTTAAATCCACAGTTGTGGAATGTGGGCAGAATTTGTCCTAAATCATTGACATGGCGACATAGGTTACAGAAATGTATATTGTCCAAGCATTGCTCCACTAACAAACACAAATAAACAATGATAAAAGCAATATAAGCTTCAGTTGCACTTTGAACAGTAGTTATAGTTGTAGCAGAAACAGCAGCAGTAGTAACAGTAGCAAGAGCAGCAGCAGCAGCAGCAGCAGTAGTAGTAGTAGTAGTAGTAGTAGTAGTAGTAGTAGTAGTAGTAGTAGTAGTAGTAGTAGTAGTAGTAGTAGTAGTAGTAGTCGTCGTCGTCGTAGTAGTCGTAGTAGTCGTCGTAGTAGTCGTAGTAGTCGTCGTAGTAGTCGTAGTAGTCGTAGTAGTCGTAGTAGTAGTAGTAGTAGTAGTAGTAGTAGTAGTAGTAGTAGTAGTAGTAGTAGTAGTAGTAGTAGTAGTAGTAGTAGTAGTAGTAGTAGTAGTAGTAGTAGTAGTAGTAGTATATATCAATTCTACCCTCGATGGGTGATGTGGTCACATCACGCCGATCGCCTTTACTTCCCAGAACTTTACGTGTTACCCATTTTATGCTGGCTCGATTTGGGTGCTAATAGCATTTTTTTTATTCGAACTCGATGCTGATTTGAACCAACGACCTTCAGGCCTACAGGCGAGCGTCTAGCCCCTAAACTACCGCGGCTTGCTATGGACAGTGAGGTGGTGATAACATTTTTCTTTGAGGTGTGTTAACAAGATGCAATTGAGACTTAGCGGTCGAGGTAATAAAGACGGCTTTTGCTTAGCTAAGTCAGTCGTCAGATAAAATCGGTCGTCCCTTTAGGGGATGTAATTTTTCTTTACTTAAAGCCTCAAGCTGGCTTTTGCCGGGGACCCTGAATATAGCTGGGTCACAATTGTGACCATAACAGTGGAAAGGGGTTTCTGGGACCTCTCCAAGGGTGATCCTCATTCGCATGGTGGCACTTTGTGTTACCGGTTGTTTATCGCTTGTGTGATGTTTTGGTGGTGTACAACAAACAAGCAAGCAATTGTCAGATGAGAAGATAAACTGCTTACAAAATTAACAAGAACATACGGGGAAATACCTATAGAATACACACAGATGTATGTAGTAACTTTAAGGTCACCCCTAAACATGCATCCTAGCGTGATGTTGACCACATCATCCACCGACTGCCCATAGGTCTATAAAATACATGTCTAGCCCTATGTGCCCAATAAGCACGACGGCGTGAAAAAGGATCCTTTACTTACTTTACTTTAACTGAACAAGCATCAACAAACCTCAATGATAGCAGGAACAGTGTGGTCTGATTCCTTCATGCAATGTCTGAAGTCTGTCCAAGAACTGTTGATTTTATCACTGGGATGTGTCTGCCATGTCCCGTCCTCCTTACAAAACCGGAGTGCTTTCTCTGGAGATGATTTCAAACAGCTTTAATTTTCTACCTGTAAACCATCATTTGCCTATTTTAATGTAAATCATTTGCCTATTTTAATTGTCCTTTCTGGCTCGATCGTTGTTTTTCAGTCATTCTCTGTTTGTGCGGGGAAGCTTGCGCGAACGTGTCTGTATGTGTGTGTGTGGGGTGGGGGTGGTTGGGGGGTGGTTGGGTGGGCGGGCACCTGTGTGTGCACGCGCACAAGTGTTTGTGTGCGTTCGTGTGCGCGCTTATATATGTGTGTCTACGCGCGTGCGTGCATGTGTGTGTGTGTGCGTGTGTGTGTGTGTGAAGAAACGCTCCGTTCTTTGGCTCACACTGGATGCAACTGATCGCTTACGGCAAATCACGACAGAATGACTTAGGCACTTTTTTCAGGTTTAGTTGTTCTTTGATTTTAGGATATTAATTCGGACGTGATAACAACTAATCCAGCAACGCTCTGCTAAATACTGCGTGCGCCAGGACATTATCAATTATTAGAATACTTATATTTAGGACGTACCTTTAGAGTAATCAGTTAACAGGTATGCAAACTGACAAAGATAACATATGTGCACTGCTAAATGAACGAACGAACGAACGAACGAACAAACTTTATTTTCAAAGGGTTACAAATTTGGCACGCAGGCCCGTCTGACATTGATACACATCAGCTACCAAACGCCGCCTGGTCTACTCAAAATATGAATCTAGCATCATAGAACATTTGCGGCATGTTGCGATGACCCTTTAATACAGTTCCTCATGTTGTGGACGACACTTTAATACAGTTCCTCATGTTGTGGACGACCCTTTAATACAGTTCCTCATGTTGTGGCGACACTTTAATACAGCTCCTCGTGTTGTGGACGACCCTTTAATACAGTTCCTCATGTTGTGGCGACACTTTAATACAGCTCCTCATGTTGTGGCGATCCCCAAAAATACCATTATTTTCGTCGCTACTTCATAACGTTTATGAATATGTATTTTGCGACGATCTTTTGCGACCACTGTGAAAGGGTAGTTTGACCCCCAAAAATGGTCGCGACACATAGGCTGAGAACCTCTGCTCTATAGGTATTCGTTTTTTCGTACGTCCGTTTTACAGATGTGGTTTATTTATTGTTGGTTACTTACCTCTCAGGCAGATGCATTCCGTAAGCTCCTTAATTAGTCGACTATTACGGCATGCTTTTTGGGAAGGGAGTGTGTTTATTCTTGTTCTCCCTTTGATAGGGCCTCGGAACTCATGGAGGGGGGGGGTGGGGGGGGTGTGTTAACTCCTTTCGTTGCCAATCAATACTTTAGATATTTTTTTTTTTTTAAGTAAAGATCCCTTTTCACGCCTTTTAGGCGCATCGAGTAGATGGGAAGAGCATCCATATTTGTACAGACCACTAGGCACTAGGTTAGGTGGGTAATGTGGTCAGCATTACGCCGGCCATCTTTACTTCCCCAGGACATGCATCCTGGTACCCATTTTAGGCTGGGTCGACCTGCGACGCCCCGTACCATGATAAAAATACACGCAGCCAGCAGTGAGTTTCGATCGCGGTATGTTGGAATTACGAGTCGGACTCGCAACACCTAAGCCACTGACGCCGCTTACTTACTACTTCAATACTTTAGATATCTGTCAATGTAAAATGCCAAATGCTGTACTTCACTACTTACCGAGTCGGTTAAATCCCTGAATGTAACTGGGACATGGCTGTGTCACATTTTCTCCTGCTCTGACGTAGTGAGGCCAGCACATCAGGTTGTCCCAGACTGGCTCACAGTAGAAACCTACAAGAGTGTTTTAAGGTTTATCACTGCATGGGCTTTTAGTGCGCACCCCCCCCCCCCCCCCACCCTTTCCGAATCCTAATAATATTTCGAGAACAGTCTCCAATTCAGCCCTATTTCCTCCAGAACATTTGTCATAAGACTAAGTTGTTTACCATTCATATCATAATTATAAAATATTATTATTATTTCATTACTGCGCACTTAAACGAGTCTCAATGAGGCCACCGTCCCTAGAAAATTGACCTCCTTCCCCCCCCCCCCCCCCCCCACCACCTCTTTTCCACTGGCCAAGATACCTTTTTCGTGTGGGGCCCGTGGATTGATTATCATCCTGAACTGTGATGGAATGAAGCCAACACAATATTTCGAAACAAAGAAGATGACACAGTGTTCTAAAAAAAAACATACAGAAGCAGAAGCTTCACACGGTGAAGAAGTCACCTTAATAATTAAAGGACCGTTTTCCACACCTTTAGTGATATTGGGCATGAATGAATGAATGAATTTCTACCCCACTAGGACATCACACAAGCGATAAACACCCGATGACACAAAGTGCCACCATGTGGGTGAGGATCACCGTGGAGAGGTCCCAGAAACCGCGTTCAGACAATTGGCCATATTTATGGCCTGCCTATATTGCCGCCCCTGGCAAAAAACAGGGTGGGGCTTCAAATAACAAAAAATTTCGTCCTAATAAGGATGTAAGTGTGATATTGGGCATATAGACCTATATTTTATGAGACCAATCAGTACTTGATGGGTGATGTGGTCAGCATTTCACTGGCCGTCTTTATTTCCTAGTACTTTACCTGGTTCATATTTAAAGCTAGGTAGACCTAGAAGCCAAGGTCATTTTTTACTCAAAAAAACAGAATAATAACATAAGAAGTAATACAGTGATAACAGCAATGTTGAGAACTGCAGACAGAAACAAAGGTAAACACATAAGCTCCAGTGATGACACTTAAAAACTTGGCAAGAAGATATTTTACATGAAATGTCAAAGTTCTATAAAGGTAATCAAAGTTATATCAGTAGCCAAATGTTGAGGGGTGACCTAAACGCCAAAACAGGATTCGATTACATGGGTTATGAAGATATCCTTTCTTTATTACGCCCAAATGGGACCACAGACATACAAAGGGAGTTCAAATCAGAGCAATGATGGACCAGATGAGTTCAGATAA